GTTAACTGCTTTGATCATTTTCACATATACAAATCAAATAACAAACCTTCAACCCTCTGCCTAAATGAAACTTGTTCAGATAGGCCCAATTTTTGTATTTAGGAGCATTGATTTAGCATTGCCAAATCTATGGGTAGAATTAAAACGGGCTAGAGCCTATTTCATATACAAAGTAGAATTGTTTCCCCTTTATATGTCACAAACTGCAAAGATTAGTAGATGTTTATGGTGAGGATTACTTTAAAGAAATGTCCCTTATTCTCTTCTAAAAAGTGTAATTCACAGTTAACACTATGACTGTGGTGACATGCCATCAGTCACTGTGGTCTGACGAGTGGAAGGTTAGTATTTTGCCCTGATGACACATGAGACAAAGACAAAATAAACAGTGAGAGACCTGCTCGGACACCCCCTCCCCGTAGCGCAGAAGGGTCACAAAGTGCTCGCAGTTGCTCCCCAGCAGGTCGTAAGACACTTCCTGGCCAATGAGGACTTGTGCTCGCTGAATGATCTCAAAGACGGGCAGGGGTGTGTGGTTGTGGTCGTACTTGTTGTTTACACGGTACGAGTCACTACCCACCACCTCCTTCAGCAGCTGCATGCGCACCACTGCCTTCCTGCTGAAGACGGACTTCACACTGGACATGGCAGCTGCCTGGTTCTCGTCTAGAGAGGAAAAGGATAGCCTCAGTGTGATAACAAGATTTTTGACATAACAAGTATTACCAGAAGTGAACATTGTAGTATCCGGAATATTGCAGGTATTGACAATATACTGTAATATACTATTGACAAAATATAGACTAACAGTTGAAGTGGGGTTTGCACAACAAACAGACCCGAAAGTCCAAAAGCCAGGATCCAAAATGGGACGGAAACAACATGATTTCATCAAACTTGAACCAGTCTTAAAGACTTTAGTGGCTTCTATATTAGAAAAAAATACCAAGAACCTTAAAATGGAGCAAACACTTGACAAAGATTTACAAAACTAGCCATAAGTCCTATGAGATAAGATATTATTTAATTGATCCTTGGTCCTTACTTACATGTTATCTTCCTCAACTGTGGTTGTCTATGCACCATACTGTATACAACAAGGCAACATGCTCAGACGTGTAAACCTACTTGGTTATAAACCTGTTTCTGATTCTGACTATGATGGTGAATTTCAAAAGCTACCCAATGTGCAGAATTGGTACTTGGTAACATTTTGAATATAAGACTTTTACTTTACAGAGTATTTCTCCACTGAAGCATTAACTACTACTTTCACCTCTGAGAATAAAACCCAAGTTTCAAGGGACTTTAAACCAAACCACAAAGGTGAAAAGAGTATTTAGACTCTTTCACGAAAGTAAAAGTCACGACACAGAACTCAGCACTCATCTCATGTCCTACTGACCGACGGGAGTCAGGTTGATGATGTAACCGTCTCCCAGGTAGAGAGCCCAGTGCTGATAGGCTGGTCTGAAGATCTCAATGAGGTCACCGGGCTGAGGGTCACCGGAGGGGTCAGGAAGGTCAGGGTCATTAGAGGCCATCTGTACACAGAAGGAGAGACACAACACATATAGATATAGCTATTTCACATATCATTAACTTTCATAAAAGATAAGCACAGTGTGTCTGTTGAAAGAAAATAATATGGTTATAAAATAAGGAGGTTTAGAAGAAGGAGCAATTGGCATTTGTGAATTATTAAAAGTGAAAACATTATAAAAGATTTCCCATTTTAATCATAATCATCTAATGCAGTAGGACAGAGCATATAAACAATTATTTAAATGAACATTTATCTTCTTTCCAATCAGGCCTTTGCTACCCCAACAGTAACTATTTGTTAAAATGATAAACATGTTAAAACATATGGAAAGATTTAGCTGTAAATAGACTCTTGAAATGACTTGGATGTTTCTCCTGTTGGAGCATGTGCATTCATGGTTAATTATCACATATTCGGCCAGCATAATAACACCCACTGGTATATTTCAGGTCACACTAACAGCCTTCAGTAAACTTACAGTTGTGTTTTGTTGTTGTTTATCCATCCCACATCATGCTTCCACAATTTCTGAAAAGAAAAGAAAACACAAATAGGAGAGACAGACAACAAGACACACCAATAGATAACTGAAAGTGAATCGGACAACTAAGGAATTGTATTTGTGTTTTTTTATTTTTAAAGACTGTGTTAAGACTGGAGTTAAAAGGTCAAACACATTCCCAGGGAAAGAGAATGCTAGATAGGATGGTACAATGTAAAGCGGTCCCATACATTCACACACAGACAATACACACATAAGCTCTTGTGTCACCTGTGCGGCCACAATAGCATCAACACAATGAGGAAGCTGACAGAAGAATAGTTTGAGCCCAGGTTATTTCACATAGAAGTACTTATCCATAACACATTTACGTTTCCTATCACTTTCTAAATGTTTCATAGTTACATTCTAAATTAACTGCCTTGGATCACCTGATATGACTATTAACGTTTTCTTGTAATTCCACAGAGAGGAGAGTTTAGTTTGGATCAAAACTAAACGTTGATGGGATGAAATCTATATCCACCCAGGAGAGCAATTAGTACATCCATCTCATCATTAATGTATGATGTGTAGCCATGCTGAGAAAAAGTCTCATATTATTTTACCAAACCAAAACTCTCAAATGAAAATGTAAAGTTTAACTCTGTCTGGAGATTATATCATTTTTGTTGTAACACAGTATGTTGTAATGCTCTGAAAACATTTGTTGTTACCATAAATAAAACACATTTTGTAGAAAAAGAATAGAAAATACAAAAATAAGAGTCATACATTTAAAGTTGCTTGTTGTATTGATATGGCATAGGAACTTTACTGAATGTATGTGAGAGGCTCAAACAGTCAACACAGAGCAAATGCAAAGAGAATTAATACTTACTCAAACACCAGCAGCTTTTTCTTCCTCACCATTTTAGTTCTCCATCATAAATCCGCACATAACCATAAAAAATACAGAAAAGAAAAAGAAGAACGGAAAGAGATCGATTCCAAGTTTCGTAGTGATAAAAGATTGCCAATTATCCCAAAGCCAAACCAAATGCTGGAGGTCCTGTTGGAGGTATTTCAGTATCTGACTGATGACAGTTCGCCACAGTCGCTAAGGTCACACACATGAACACACACTCATGAACACACTCATGAACACACACTCATGAACACACTCATGAACACACTCATGAACACACACACACACACACACACACACACACACACACACACACACACACACACACACACACACACACACACACACACACACACACCACACACACACACACACACACACACACACACACACACACACACACACACACACACACACACACACACATGTGTTTCCTCCCTGCCATTGTCCCTTTCAGCAACAGCCACACTGCTCTTCGGAATAAGAGTTATTGTGGGCTTAACAAATACTTTATTTTATTTAAATGCTGTCTGCTCTCTGCTTTTAATGTGTCTATTGTGTTTTTCAACATTTTCATTTTCTCCTATCAGTTTCCAAGTTCCAAACAAAACAAAAAACCCTATTTTTCCTTCCTTTAGTACTATGTATGGGTATATGGTTATTTTTTGTATGATTGACTGGATTACATTACTTTTCAGATGACCGTTTTCATCCCATTCATGTCCATTATAACCATGTATCTTTACATGTATCTATTTTATAATGTTTATAATAAACTGAAAGATTGAACTTTCCTTTATGAGTTGAGACAATTATTATATTTTTTAAGCTAAATAAAAAATGAAAAGCCCTTTTGAATCAGCTGGTCAACTAATCACTACAAAGTCGAAAACAGGGCTGTTAGAGATCATGTACATCTTTCAGGATAAAGGTGCTTCCAACATATGATTATCTACTCAAATGTACTGCTGCAGATTAAACAACAACAGTATACAATTTAGTTACACTTACAGAACATTAAACAGTAGTGAATTGCAACATACATAGTAACACAGCAGTAATATTTATTTAGAAATATCATAAACTGCAGGATGTTAAAACACTGACAGAGAGCTTTTACTGAACTATAAATCCTCTTATTTTAAACAGGACTACTTTAACTACATTTTGCTTATACTTTTCCTGAATGCAGGACTTTTTAACATATAGTTTTTTTTACATAGTGTAGTATTAGTGTTTTAGTTCAGTAAAGAATATTAATACTTCTTTCACCCCTGCCAAACAGTCATACCCTTGGCGTTCATGAGCCTTAGCTACAATACAGGAGATGTCAGGGGTTGGATGGATTCTTTGCTCTCTGATTGGTTGGAGACAGATAACCTCTCGTCACTGTTCTCCGCCCCCTCGGCTGTACAGTTCATTGGGAAGCTGTGTCAAGCTGAAGACAGTACATCTGACCAGAGCAGGAAGTTAGACACGTTAAGTTTAATAAATAAATAATACATTTAATACATGTACATTTCAGGAAGACTGAAAAATCATAGTATATCAGTGGGTTCAATTTATGGAATTTACTTGCAAAAACTTTGTAAGTTTAAAATGTAAATATGATACAATCGATAACTAGAAGAAATGTAAGATGACAACAAAAACAATTGTAAATATTGGATCTACCTTTAGCCTAAATATGTTTATTTTTTACCAGAATGAATCTGAATCTGCTGGATTTGCAGACATTTGACTGCTGATTATATAAACAAAATGATATAAATTGATGATATAAACAAAATTAGCTATAAAATACCAACCTGAAAGAAATAATAGATTCCCTGTCAAATCAAAACCACAAGCAAGGGTGCATTTTTTTTGTTTAACAACCAAAGGCAAGCTATTTAAAATATATGCAAGTCAGTAGGAAATACACGTAAACCTTATCCAACCATATTCAAACACATTGTGGCATAATGTCAAACGCAGCAACTCAGATCAACTGGGCTTTTATTTTGAAGGTAATCCCGGAAGCTCTTCTTCTTTTGCGACTAGCGTGACACAGGATACAAACAGAAGGTTAGCCCGGCTGACAGCAACTCATCTTTCAGTGGGGAAAGGGATTCTCTGAACTGTCGCCGCGGATCGATATTGCTTCTGTTATGAGAAGAAAACACTGGCTCTGTTAGGACTGTGGTAAGGAAATGCTAGTGTGCTAATGCTAGTTTACACCCTGCTTGTAACGTTAGCTACTGTTAGCATAATCTGTTAGCTTGTTTTTCACCAACACGCGACCGCTGGTTTACTTTCATTTTTTCACATCTTTATCATAAGTAGTTGAGAAAAGCCAGGCATATAAAGTCATAATGTTTTATTACTGTGTCTCCAAGTGGGACCATGTCACTGCTAACTTCTTGACAGTTTGCTTACTAACGTTACTACTACTAGCTAACACACGTTATTTAACCTCTCAGCTTTCTTGCAAACAATTACCTAGAAGTTGCACAACTGCATTGTCATCATTAACACTCGTCCAGCCTGATCGGTGTAATACAGTGATCATGGTGGTAGTTAACGTTGTTTATGTGCACTTGTGTAACTGTGTTGACCTGTTTGACCCCTCTGTGTGTAGATTGAACACCATGGCTGCAGCCCCTCCTCTCAGACGGACGGATTCAGCTCGGGGGGAGTTCTCCCCTCTCAAGAGATTTGTTGTGGCCAAGAAGAAGATAAGCGATGTCTTTGAACAACTACTGAACTACGTGAAAGAGACTTCAGAGTTTGTAGAAGGTGAGAGGGTTTGCTTCTCTGTTCTCAATTTACAAAAGTACATTTACTCAAGCACTTTACTTTTTGAGGAACCTGTACTATACTTGAGTATTTCCATGTTATGCTACTCTTTACTTCTACTCCATTACATGTTGGAAGCCTATATTGTACTTTTGACCCCACTTCATTTATTTGAAAAAACAAGAGTTACTATTTATTTTACAGATTAGGATTACTTGCTAACACAACATATAAATAAACTAACACATAGCCTAAAATTATATATAATAGTTTAAGACATTTAGCAACAGTATATAAAGTAATTAAATTAACTCCACCTTTACCAGCAGTGATCAACATTAATGCATGAATAATAATAATAATCCAGTAAATGTATATGGTTCTGAAATGGGACATTAAGTACTTGAAAACAATTTGATGCCAATACTTGTTTACTTTAACTCAAGTAAGATTTTGTATGCAGGGCTTTTACTTTTACTACAACATCTAAGTACTTCTTCCACCTCAGTCCGTTTGTCAGTCAGGAATAGTAGGTCATTGATTTCATTGGAAAACTAATTACAGTTACCAGGATTATAACACGAAATGTATCAAAGAGAAAAACGCTCATCATGTTTATTATCTGTTTGCCAACTCACTCTGTATGAATTGCTCATGAAGTGGACGTTGGTTGTCGTTTTTATTTGGTCAGAAACCTGTGGGAACAAAGCTTTGCAGAACATTGCGAGTCAGGAGCAAAAGTTGGAGATCCAGGCGTATGCTGACAAACTTGCTGTCATTAAGGAGGTGCTGGCACGCAGACACATGAAAGTGGCCTTTTTTGGCAGGTAAAAAACATCTATACACAAACCTGAAATGTATTTGTTCCAAGTGTTCTTCTTTCCCATAAAAGCAACCTTTTATAGACGTTATTGTTGTGATGTACAAGAGTTAAAGTGGTCCTCCTCCAGATTATTTACGTAGAAGTTTGCCTGAGCTTTTATGTTCTTTTCATTTCACAAGTATCATTGAAGTGACAGACATTTCCTGTTGTTAGAACCCATTCTTTATAATTGAGTTTGAACTGATGTTAATTGAACCATATCATGCCCTGCACGCCTTAACCCAAGACACGACAGGGAGGGTGTGCCAGAGAAATACTGTGAGATTTCCTCTGCTTGATTGGGCAATGAGTTGCAGTTCCTTAAACCTCCTGACATTGTAAACACTTCCTTTTGCAAAGTAACCAGATTACTTACTCGGTCTGACCCATTAGTTGCATCACATTAGTGTTACATTGACATTTAAAGTAAGTTAGGAAGTTACAGCCTGGACAATTTTGGTAATTTGGAGTATGAGCTAATTATTTGTTTTGACACAGAGTCAATGACTGTTTGGTTTTTAGGACGAGTAATGGTAAAAGCACAGTGGTCAACGCCATGCTGAGGGACCGCGTGCTGCCCAGCGGGATCGGCCACACCACTAACTGCTTCCTCAGTGTGGAGGGCACTGATGAAGACAAGGCCTACCTCAAGACAGAGGGCTCTGATGAGGAGAAGAGCATCAAGGTAGGTGTTATTTAATAACGCTAACCTTTTTGCAAAAATGTTTTTAGGTTTAAATGAGTCTGTTACGAGCCATGGTCTGTCTCCCATTCATATTTTTACAGATTTGTGTTGTTCTATGGAGAACTACCTTGTATTCCTGCTGTTGTAAAGGGGACACAGAATGTGGCCATGTTCACTTATCAGACTGTCAGTGATGTTGTGCTACCTCACATTTCCTCTGTTGACTTGCAGTCAGAATGCCAGGAATATGGTATATGACATTTTTACTGTGGACATTTTGTTTAACCCAAAGGAGTCACATATGTGAGTACAAGCTTAAAAGGTTACTTCCTCAACATGATAACAGAACCAATCTCATTGTTTTATAAGCAGTTATAGAAGACTTTTCTAACAACTTCAACTGACTAAACAGAATTATTTCAACACAAGTTCAACATAGTAAGCAGCTGAATCAGTTTTAATCCATCTATTGTCCTCTCTAGCTGATGGCATGTCAAACCTGGTAGCTACCTAATTTCAAATGTAACATTTCCCTCTCTAATTATTATCTTATTGGCTTATATAAATAAACCTTCCTGTTATTAAGTCAAATTATTAACTGCATAGTGATACATACATCTTAGAAACATGGAATCCCTTCTGCAAAAACAGGTCAAATAAAAGAACCGACTTTTTAATTTATAAAAAAGTAACTGAAGAAAAACGATTGTGCTCTGATTTCTCCAGCCTAATCGAATAATTTGTAACATCCACAACCCTAATTTGAGTCTGTTTACATCTCCTCTGCAGACTGTAAACCAGCTGGCTCACGCGCTCCACATGGACGAGAGTCTGGACGCCGGCTGTCTCGTCCGTGTGTTTTGGCCGAAGACAAAGTGTGCTTTGCTCCGAGACGACCTGGTGCTCGTAGACAGGTAACGGGCTCCGTTAATCCAATCCGGAACGTTTGTTAATATGAAGTTGATAGTTTCTAGGAAATCTAAATGTGAGCTTTACACAAATAAAGTCAGTAATTTGATTGATACATTTATTTCGAACAAGTAAAATAAATAATTACAAAACAAATGTTGCAGTGCATAGTCATGTAAGAGAAATCAAAACAAAAAATGACATTTACAACAACAACAACAGCATTAGCAACATAAACAGTGCCACATCTAGTGTTCGAAAAGGAGTGAGAAGAAGTATAACTTATTTAATCTCACCCCCTTGTCCCTAAATGATTTATTTATAATCTATAATAATTATCATAATCATTATTTACTCACCCTCTCTTCTACTGCCTTAGCCCAGGGACAGATGTCACATCTGAACTGGACAGCTGGATTGACAAATTCTGCCTGGATGCCGATGTCTTTGTGCTAGTGGCCAACTCTGAATCAACGCTTATGAACACGGTAAAGCCTCTGAGCCTTGTGAAAATGTGACATTTACACGACATCTTAAAACAACTTTCATCACTTATTAAACGATTGCTCAAAGGTCGGTTCTGTGTGTACACATGGTTAGTTTGGACATGATGACATTACAATCTTTGCTTCCATGGATTATCACAAAATGTTCTTTTTAAAGGTGTTGTATGTCCACTCGGGGTGGTGACAGGACAGTCATCTGAACACTGACATTGTCATAGCTAATTATAACACACCACACTAGCAGGCTAAGCACGTTTTCAGCCAACTTAAAGGGCCAGTGTGGATGTCTTCTCTGCTAAGCTGGTTACATAATGAGGAATGTGGCTGCTCGTGTTTGTATGCAGCAGCAGAGGCCCCACAGTTGTTTATGTCTGCTCAGGCGTTCATGCAATGTAAAGCCAGAGAGAGAGTCAATCTCAGAGCTCCTTACCGGCAGAAGCTCTTAAAGAGAAAGCAAATACACAATCCCCTCTTTGCCTATACATCGACGACATCTCAGGCATCGTGTAAATAATGTAAGATATTCAAGCAGCAGTGTCGAGTGTCAGTGAGAGTTTCTGTCTGGCTGTGCCAACCATGAACAATGTGATCCATGTAGCCAACTCATTTAGCTTATTGGTCTGCACAGGTTTGTCCTGCAAAGTCAAGAAAATGTATCAATTGTTTACAAAAAGGGAAAAGCAACAATTTTTTTTTTTCTGATTTTGATTACTCTCCCCTTCGATCATCCAGGAAAAACACTTTTTCCACAAAGTCAACGAACGTCTGTCAAAACCCAACATCTTCATCCTCAACAACCGCTGGGATGCCTCAGCCAATGAGCCAGAGTACATGGAGGATGTGAGTCTGTTGTATCTGTCTCATGTCAGAATGAATCATATTTCATTATTACACGATGTGTTTATGTTGCAAAACTGGCATAAGCTAGAGTTTAGTAATTGGTTTAACATTGTACAGTTTTTACAATGAAAATGGTCACCTTCCTGCAGGTGAGGAAGCAGCACACGGACCGTTGTGTGAACTTCCTGGTGGAGGAGCTGAAGGTTGTGGATCGCGATCAGGCACCCAACCGCATTTTCTTCGTCTCCGCCAAAGAGGTGCTCAACTCCCGCATGCAGCGTGCTCAGGGCATGCCTGAATCAGGTGAGGCTTCACATTATAGCTGAGCTGTATTTGTGGATGATAGGGAACTGTTTTCCCATCTTAAAGTTTGATTTAATTGGCAACCAGGATATGCTGTTTGCAAAATCTAATTCTATACAGCCATGTTTAAATAGAAAAAGAGTTTCCAATCTTTACATGAACGGCTAAGTGCAGTGCAGTCAGCCGCTTTCAATCTATTGAAAAAAAATGATTTCAAGTTTTTTTCTGAAGTTTTTGTTTAGATTTTGATTTAACCTCTTTTTGTCTAAATAAGTAGATACCACTTAACTCGATTAACGTTGTGAATTACAAACAGTGATGAAAAAGAAAAAAAGCCGATAAAATAGTTAAGAACCTACCTGTGACGAAGGACAATTTGTCCGTTCTGATGCAACTTATGTATTAATAATAATAGCAATCACTTTTCACTGTTTAAATGATGTGATCATTAATCCAACAGGTGGAGCCCTGGCTGAAGGCTTCCATGAGAGACTGAAGGAGTTCCAGTGCTTTGAGAGGAGGTTTGAGGTGTGTGTCTGTGTGTATCTGTGTTTCCTCTCCATGTCTTACAATGTATTCCGACTCATCAAGGAAACATTTCCCGTCTGAACTTGACAGAGAGATTTTGGAGAGAAGTTGTTGATAATATTTGGATATATTTGTGATGATATGCTGATATATTTGCTACTACAAAGACATCTCAAAAGGCATGCCTCTGAGGTAAAACTGTCAAATCAAGCCAAAAACAGCAGATTACTCCAATGTTATTAAAGTTGATAAACCAGCACGGTCTGGCTGCTTGCCAGAGTAAGTTGCAACTGGAGGGAGAAAGTCACTATTGCGAGAAATTAGGCTATTTTTATTGCTTCAGACTGGTAGATAAAGAGTGTGTGTGTGTGTGTGTGTGTGTGTGTGTGTGTGTGTGTGTGTGTGTGTGTGTGTGTGTGTGTGTGTGTGTGTGTGTGTGTGTGTGTGTGTGTGTGTGTGTGTGTGTGTGTGTGTGTGTGTGTGTGTGTGTGTGTGTGTGTGTGTGTGTGTGTGTGTGTGTGTGTGTGTGTGTGTGTGTGTGTGTGTGTGTGTGTGTGGTGTGTGTGTGTGTGTGTGTGTGTGTGTGTGTGTGTGTGTGTGTGTGTGTGTGTGTGTGTGTGTGTGTGTGTGTGTGTGTGTGTGTGTGTGTGTGTGTGTGTGTGTGTGTGTGTGTGTGTGTGTGTGTGTGTGTGTGTGTGGTGTGTGTGTGTGTGTGGTGACAGAAATGTAATAAATAAGAAGCAGCCAAAGTCCTTGTCCTAACATTAACCTGAGCGGTGAAGAACTCTCACCTGGCTCAGGTTTCACTCCTAACCGTGCAATCACTGTGCATCCCCGACCAATCACTGTGCCTTATCCATCAACCTGCGTCTTCATTGCTGAAGTCTAGATTCACTTAGGCGAGGACATCTGTTTGATTTGATTTCATTCACTTTTGTTGTATCAACATTTTTGTGGAGTTTTCTGTGTTTTGATTTGAACAGGAATTTAATTGTGTCCATACTGGGAGGAAAACACTGAAACTAAAAGTTATAGTCCTTAAGATAACAGGAGGGCAGTTTGTTTCTACATGTCCTAAACACTTGTTACACTGACTGCACATTTATCAGAAATGAACTGCTGTATGTGTTGACAGTGAATCCAAACAAACTCATGTTGTTTTACTAGAAAGACAGTCGATAATCAGAGCAACAGCCATCTGATGTAATGCTTCACACTACGTGCAAGTTGTTTACCACACAACAGTAGGACACAGTAAAGTTGGTTACTGTGCTGAAGGTATGCAGCCTGTCAGTGAGAAATACATAGTGTATCGTGTGGCTCCTTCACAATAAAAGGCCCAAAAGTTTACATTTCAAGAAGCAGCATAAAATGTCCAATTTACATCAGCAGCGGCAGCTCTGATACCCCGTTTGGAGAGTGAACAGTGAGCCTGTTATCAATGAGAGAAAATCACACTGGTTTACATGCACGCTTCCTGTGAGGCACACTCGTTTGTGAAGGCAATTTGAATCCATCGCGGTAATGGCGGACTCCACCTGCAGTGAAAATGAGACGTTATAACAAAATCTAAATACTTCTAAATATTTCTAATTTAAGGAATTTTCCCAAACAGGGATCAATAAAAGTATTTCTAATCTCATTCAAATAAAACAAAAGGTTTATAGTTCATAAACGTATTTAATTTTAAGTGAAAATACAAATAACAATTGCGCTTTAGACATTACTTGTTTTGCGTGACCTACCATAGATGTAGAACAGGGAATAATTACAACTCAAAATGACACAATATTCCTGCTTTTATGTTTCAATTTTTTTTTTTTCATTTGCATTCTTGATTGTATTACACTTGATGTGTTTTCATTATTTTCCTGTGGCTTCACCAACACATTACTGTGACTACAATATGTGGGCTGTGGGAGGCAGGATACACACCTTGCTGCTGTCATTTTCAAACCTGTGTTTCCCCTTTTCTTTTCGTCTCTTAAGTTAAAGTAGCAGGTGTGTATCTTGCTCTCTGTTTGTCCCCGGTAGCGTGCACCTTCATGCATCTTACCCAGCCCCTATAGCTGTCACAGTAACTTATGTGTTATGGCCTCGCAGGAGTGTATCTCGCAGTCAGCAGTGAAAACAAAGTTTGAGCAGCACACTATCAGGGCCAAGCTGATCACAGAAAAAGTCAAGAGCATCATGGACGCCATCAACATTGAGGCGGCGGAGAAGAGGTGGGTATCTTGCTCAATGCATACTTACTTTTAGTTAGAGTGGATTGGTAGAGGTCGATTGTTTCTGGAAATCTGAAGTCTTTTGACCATGAAATGAAGGGACATATAGGTAATCTATGAATTTGTTGGTGTAACTTCATTTAGTGACATTGTGTTTACTAATGCAGGGATACATTAGTTTGTACATGCTATAACGATCAGTGGATTGTGCAAAAAATGCTACGTTCTGCTCTGTTACTCTGTGTATTCTTTTAATCCTGTTTCTTCATAAACAGCCAAACTGTTCAGCTGCCAGTTTGCTTTTGTGACTTTTATCCTTGTTGCTGGGGGGGGGCTTTAGAGTGGCAGCACTGGAGGACAGAGAGTATCAGATAGACCGGCTGGAGTTTGTGAAGAATCAGCTCCACCTGCTGATCGATGACATCAAGGCTAAGATCAAGGCCATCAGTGCGGACGTGGAGAATAAGGTAATGTAGGCGACGACTGGGGGAAGAACTTTGAAATGGTCTGTTTAGGTTTTAACCTCCACTTTACTCCAACAACAACAACAACTCTGAACTTGGCATCAAATGACATTTCCTTTCATCATTGCTTTGTTATTCTGTTTTATTGAATAACCGTTATAAGGGTGGAAATCAGGGTTTAAATAATCAGTAATTGAAAAATCATGAGATAGTCAACTGTTTATAATATAGGTTAATACAACTTCTTTTTGAGATCATTTTTTAACATTTATTTAAAATATTACAGTTATCAAAAGTGCTGATTGTTTTTTTAAATATATATTTTTACTAATTGTTTCACATCTACTCTGAATACTTGATGAGTTTAAGCTTACCTTCTCCCTTACAAAAACATTTTATTCTACTGCTGCCTGCAGTTTTTAATCAAGTTTAATACTGAGGATGAAACAACTCAAAACACATCGATGCCTGGACAGAAACAAAGAAATCAAAAACAACATTTACTAGGGATGTAACGATATGTCGAATATCGCGATATCGCGGTAAATAAATGTCTCAATACCGTCATGAGATTGCCAAAATGCACCGCAATTTAAAAAAAAAAAAAAAAAAATGTAATTTTTTTTTTGAAATTTTATTTAACCAGATGGTCCCATTGAGATCATCAATCTCTTTTTCAAGGGAGACCTGTCCAACATGGCAGCAAGTAGGTTACAACATGAACATAAAACAACAGATAACACAAAAGGACATCGTATTTACAGGGCTACATGTACATACCTAGAGACATTGACAAGTACCAACAGTATATTTATATCTCGCCCTGTCAATAAGCCTCACCTTCTTGGCAAAAACTGTATTGTTTTTTAAGCGGTGGAGAGACAATGCACAGTTTTACCCACTGCCCAAAGCATATCTCTCTGTCCCAGCAACATCAGTACCAAGCAAGAGAGTTTTTTCCACAGCAGGGGATATTGTAAACGCCCAAACATCCCAGCTTCTACCTGGAAATGTGGACATGCTCATATTCCTAAAAGATAACCTTGATGATGCTGAGTGAGTGAGTTAGTGAATTAGAGTTGAGTTACTTGAAAAACTAAAGTGAAACTTTATTTATTCTATTGCAGGGTCTGATTATTATATTGTTGACACTTTAAAATACTACTATCCTACTTAAATGCTGTGCAAATCAGATTCATTATTTAATAAAGAATATCAAATAAAAAAATAAAAATGTTCTTTATTTTTCAATATTGCGATAAATATCGTACCGTGGACTTTTTATCGCGATATTATCGTACCGTGAGTTTTTGGTATCGTTACATCCCTAACATTTACTTTATTTAATGCATCAGTTTGAGGCCTCATGCACTTCGGGGTTCTTTGAGTAGGGCCACAAGTTCTTCCTGCTCAGTGCTGGCGTTCTGTAGCTGACTGATATTTCTGGTTGTCTTTCTTCCAGGTATCCATCGCCATGGGAGAGGAGATCTGCCGTCTCCATGTAATCGTTGATGAGTTCCACTCTGACTTCCACCCATCGCCACATGTCCTTAAGATCTACAAGTCTGTGAGTAGAGACACAGATGTATTATACTCCACCACACATTTCCTCGCAGGTATTTTGTTTGTATTAACCGTCTCCATGTGACCTCCTGGTGCTGTTTGCAGGAGCTGCTGTCTCACGTGGAGGAGGGGATGGGGAAGAACCTGGCTTTCCGCTGCTCCGACGCCGTCCACGCCTCGGTCCACTCCTCACAGAAATACATGATGGGTAATTATTAATTATTGTTTGTTTTTTATTGCTTTTTATTCATTCTACCGTGTTGTGTACTGTTTTTATACTATTCACGCTCACTGCTTGTAGCACTTTGGGATTTGAAGTCAAATATGAAGTGCTTTATAAATGAAACCCATTATTATTATTAATTAGCTGCAAACATAACAGAGCACAAAATATAAGATCTCCTTTGTATTACTAAATGCATTCTGTGTCTCAGGTGAGGCAAAGCTTTCTAAAATAATTTCTGGTCAGATGCTTTGATGAATCTGCAGCCCTTAGGTTAAGCCAATAGGAATAAAGTATTCATCTAAAGCAAAAAGTTAACTCAAATTAGGTAAAAGATTTAAAATAAATGTGATAATATAAAGTACTAATAACTATCTGCGTCCCATCACTGTCAGAATGACTTGAGTCACAGCATCAATGAGGGATTACAGCTTCTCTTGGTCATTTATGATATTTTGTACTGTTATGTACATCTTTATAATGAATGGTGGGTGAGCTAAAATCACAATTTTCTCACAACATTTCCTAACTTAAAAGCCAAGAAAATAATCATCAATTCATAGAAAATTACCTCAGCCCAGATTTCTAGTCCCCCATTGTTTTCTCCCTCACCCGCTCATTTAGAGTGTGTTGCTAAACTTAGTCCAAACCTTTGGGGCTCTCAGGCTACGGTCTGCAACACCCAGCGCTGCTATATTGACCCTCATCGCTGAATGCCATTATCCCGTGCCCCATTATGCTACACATGCGTCACAGTGTTAGGCCAACGAATGCAAGCTGTGCTCCGTGACAGTGACGCTGAAAAGGTGTTAATGTGCCCTCTGACGATAAGGACTCAGGTGCTGTTATGAAATTGTGGTGTGATCTTTTTTCTTTTCCCTAAGGAGAGATGAAGAGATGCACAATATTTAATGATAGTGATGTTGATTTTTTCATCTGTGTTAATATCTGCCTCTTTGTTCCCAATGTAATTGCACAAAAAGTAAACGGACGTATTGTGAATAAAAGTACATTTTTCATTGTGCATCAGTGTATGTTTAAAATACAAACTAATCCACAAACTATCTCATGACTGCAGTTGACATTACATTACATTGCATTTAGCTGACGCTTTTATCCAAAGCGACTTACAATAAGTGCGTTCGACCAACAAAATACAAACTTGAAGAAAACAGAATCATATAAGTACTAGGGCCGGGACCCGATTAAAAAAATTAATCTAATTAATTAGAGGCTTTGTAATTAATTAATCGAAATTAATCGCATTTTTAATCACATATAAATATTTGACCTGAGAACAGTGAGAAGCAATTTTTTTCACATGGATTTTAGTACACCATTAGGCGCATTCACACCGCAGTACTTTTCCCACAAAGGTTCATGAGAATTTAGTTCATGAGAACTCTTTGAACCTGGGGGAGGATTAGGTAAATGAAGCCGCTGACGTCACTTCTTCTTCTTCTGCTTTGGGTTTACTGGCAGGCCGCAAACCACTTCACGGCGTATACTGCCGCCCAAAGTCCCCGGCCGGAAGTCCCCGGAGTTAGGGACTGGCTTCAGTAGAAGCTGCTGGGAGTCCCAGCAGCCTTCCGAGTAAATCGCCAGAACGCCGACACCTCCTCATCTCCACCGCTCCCATGTTTTATTTTGTGTTGCCATAAGTTAGTCTCTCTGCGTTTCTGCGCTGGGCTAATGCTAATAATGCTAATGCGAGGATAATAAAATGGCGGCTTCACAAAACTTTTTGGGAGTTTTACGGGGCGTGGTTTGCAATCCGCCCAGCCAATCAGAAATATAGCTCTTTTCTCACACGAGAGCCGTACGAAAGTCCCTGCTCTCTAGCAGCTCTCTGCTCTCTAGCAGGGACTTTCGTGGGGGTAAAAAGGTTCTCATGAACTAATTTTAGTACCGGCTCTTTTTGGTGTGAACGCGATAAAAGAGGCTAACGTCCACGCTAGCTGCTATATGTTTTGCATTGAGGTGATACTTGAGGCTTGATGTGCTGCGGTGATATGCGAATTCCTTTTTGCATAATTTGCACACAACCGTGCTCTTATCGACGCTTCCATCCGTCCGTTTTTTAAAACAACATTTCCCACTGTTGTTCACTGTGGTTTGTTGTTGTCTGAAGTCATGAACGTTAGTTGGTGCTCCAATATAATCGGTACGCCTGAAACTCATCCAGTGAGAAACGTTCCGCGGTGCAAAAATAAGTGCGATTAAAATGCGTTAATTTTTTTAACGTGTTCATTTTTGTGTAATTAATTAATCTTAATTAACGCGTTAAAGTCCCGGCCCTAATAAGTACATCAGGCTTCATAGAGCAAAAACATTTCAAGTGCTACTCAACTGGCTTTAGATAAGCCAGCCCTTTATTAGTATATAAGTGCTTTGTTAATAGTTCTATCGCTCGAAGTGGAGTCGAAAGAGATGAGTTTTCAGTCTGCGCCGGAAGGTGTGTAAGCTTATTAAGTTTATTTCTGTATATTTATTTTGTAATAGACTCTCATACGCACTTTCTTCTCCCTCTCCAGAGAGCATGCTCCCTCTGCTTCCCTCTTCCTCCCAGAGCCAAGTCCACATGCTGGTGCCCAGCAGGAAGTTTGACCTGAGTTACGACCTGAACTGCGCCACGCTGTGCAATGACTTCCAGGAGAACATTGACTTTCAGTTCACGTTGGGCTGGACAGCGTTAGTGCACCGCTTCCTGGGATCTGTCAACGCACAGAGAGCGCTCAAACTGGTGGACCAGAATTTCCAGGTACAGGCTGAAAATGTATTGTTGTTTATTATTCCTGCTTTTTGTGTGAGTCCAGGGTTGTACAAATTCTTACAGGTTACAAGCCATTGTATTGTGCTTGATCTTTTTTTTTTTATATATATATTTGAAATCAAACAATCCCATCATTACATTTCTCTGATGTCTCCTGGCGTCTCACACCAGACGGGGGAGTGAAACCCTTAATGAGACTGTAAAATAAATAAACAACTGACCATGATCACAAACTTTTCTATTTTGAATACGAAGATACTTTCGATAAATTATTTCTGTAAACGTACTCATAAAAAGCGAACAAACCCTGGGTGTGGCCTCGTTAACGTAAATACAAACCATTTTGAAGGAGCTCAGATTTTCCCTCTCGTTCCTCAGGGCTCCCTACCAGCGCTGCCGGCCCTCACCCCCTCCTCGGGCCCCCCCCTCATTGGCGGCCCCGCCCAACAACGAGACAGCCCTCATGACCCAAGAGGACGTGATGATAGCTGTGGCAACCAACGTAGCATCCCTCACCTCCCGCACCTCCATGAGCGTTATCATCGTCGGAGGAGTGGTATGTTGTTTCCAAAGTTGTCCTAGCAATTTGACATCCATAATGAAGTCCTTATAGGCCCGGACACACCAAGACGATTTCGGCCGTCGATAGATGTCTGGCTGTCGATGAGCGTCCGTCGCCCTACTCAGATTGGTGTGTCCGACACCTTCCGCTCCCGATTGAACATGTTGAATCGGGAGCGGAGGCTGTCGGCACAACAAATCACTCTGATTGGCTGTTCAGCTTAGCGAATCAGTGCATGAGAAGCCTTTTTTTTAACGCATTTTAATACAACCTTGGAGCCTACTTTGGTGATTTTTGCCGACTTTATGTTGATGGAAATTGTTTATAGCAATAAAATAAATAACTTGTGAGGAAGTGAATGATCTATACCTAAATCTATGAAGGTAGATATGGTGCAACTTGTGAGAGCTTGTAAAACCTGATGTGAGCACTTCAGAAAAAAATGAATTTAGTGATACATTACATGTCATTTGTTAGACGCTTTTATCCAAAGTGACTTACATACATTCAGTACTGTGGACAATCCCCACAGGAGCAATTTGGGTTGAAGTGTCTTGCCCAGGGACACAACGACATGCTGACTGCAGTGGGGTTTGAACTTGCCATCCCCTGATTCGAAGTCCATCACACTACCCACTGAGCCACAGCCTCCCATGATACCATGACACAATTCCATCAGAGTAATGATAAAAACCTAGAGGACATTATACAACTTCTGAAATCCTCCTCCTGCTGCCTTGATATTATTCCAACAGGGTTTTTCAAAAATGTTTTTCCTTGCATGGCCTCAGATCTACTTCATATAGTAAACAAGTCTCTTCACTCAGGTATTTTTCCACAGGCCCTTAAAACTGCAGTCATTAAACCGCTCTTAAAAAAGCATAATCTAGACGCTTCAGTAATGAACAATTACAGGCCCATATCAAACCTCCCATTTCTAGGTAAAATCATTGAAAAAGTAGTCTTTCAACAGTTGAGTAATTTATTTCCCTTTTTAAATAGCTGTTTAGATGTGTTCCAGTCAGGCTTTCGTCCAAACCACAGCACTGAAACTGCTCTTGTAAAGGTCTTCAATGACATCCACTTAAACACAGACAGTGGCAGAACTTCAGTGTTAGTATTATTAGATCTCAGTGCTGCGTTTGACACTGTTGACCACAGCATATTACTAGACCGACTAGAAAACTGGGTGGGACTTTCGGAAACAGTTCTAAATTGGTTTGAATCCTACTTAAAGGACAGAAACAACTTTGTTTCTATAGGTAAATACAAATCTGAGTTGACAAATATGACATGTGGGGTTCCTCAAGGCTCCATCTTGGGGCCTCTTCTCTTTAACATCTACATGCTACCACAGGCTCAGATAATGAAAAACAACAAAATAAGTTACCATAGCTATGCGGATGACACACAAATTTACATAACCATTTCACCAGGAGACTATTCTCCAGTTAAAACACTGAGTAAGTGCATTGAACAAATCAATGACTGGATGTGTCAGAACTTTCTCCAATTAAACAAAGACAAAACTGAGGTAATGGTTTTTGGAGCCAAGGCAGAACGTATAAAAGTTAGCACTGAGCTTCAGTCTGCAATGTTCAAAACAACAGATAAAGCCAGAAATCTAGGTGTAGTCATGGACTCTGACCTGAGTTTCAACAGTCACATTAAAACAGTTACTAAATCAGCCTACTATCACCTAAAGAATATATCTAGGATTAAAAGACTAATGTCACAGCAGGATTTGGAAAAACTTGTCCATGCTTTTATCTTCAGTAGACTCGACTACTGCAATGGTGTCTTCACAGGTCTCACTAAAAAATCTATTAGGAAGCTGCAGCTGATTCAGAACGCCGCTGCTCGAGTCCTCACTAACACTAAGAAAGTGGATCACATCACTCCTGTTCTGAAGTCTTTACACTGGCTTCCTGTGTGTCAAAGAATAGATTTCAAAATACTGCTGCTGGTTTATAAAGCTTTGAATGGTTTAGGCCCAAAATACATTTCTGACCTCCTGCTAAATTATGAACCATCCAGATCTCTCAGGTCTTCAGGGACTGGTCAGCTTTCTGTCCCCAGAGTCAGAACTAAACATGGTAAAGCAGCGTTCAGTTATTATATGCTCCAAATATCTGGAACAAACTCCCAGAAACCTGCAGGTCCGCTGCAACTCTGACTACTTTTAAATCCAGGCTGAAGACTTTTCTTTTTGTCGCTGCTTTTAATTTTAATTGAAACTGAGCCGTTGTGTTCATCAGTAAAGTGGAACTTCTGTGTGAACTATTCATATCTTAATGCACTGTAACTTTTTATTCATGTACTTTTTATTCATGCATTTTTTCTTTTAATGTTTCTTTTATTATCTTTTACTGTTTTTAAATGCCTTTGTCTGAATGTCTTTCATTTTTGTAAAGCACCTTGAATTGCCTTGTGTGAAAGGTGCTATATAAATAAACTTGCCTTGCCTTGATAAAATGTTCACTTGCAGAAAAATATATATTTTTAAAATATATTTTCCATTACAACTGCAACTTGGTTATTACAACCTCTCAAATCAGTCATTACAACTTCACAATCTGCTCTGTGGCAGTATAAATCGACGAATCTGCGGCCTTGACTTTTGCTACACTTCTTGCGATGAATGTGTCGCTAAAGTAATTTTCACCTGTAGATGTGGGGAGGGAGGGGGGTTGGATAGAAGGGGCGGAGCTATCAGAACGACGAGGCGCAAGCTCGGGTCAGTCACACACAAGTCACAGCCATGTATGTAATATATTTTTCTGCAAGTGAACATTTCATCACTAAGTTAATTTTTTTTTTCTACAAGCTACAAACTTTTTTCTTTATTTTTTCTGTTACTTCAAATTTGGTTCACAGATACGTGGATATTTACAAGAGTAAATGTAGGCACACAAGCACAGATTTTTTTCTGCAAGTTCTCACATTGTACTCTACAAGATGTTTTACAAGCATTTTGCACAATATCTATCTTCATATAAATCAGGCATAACGATTTGAAAGCAAGAAGCCTGGCGACTGCTTTTCATGACTTTACATAGGACTGCAGCTATTAAACAATCCCTGATGAGGCGGTCTAACTGTGAGGGAGCTAACCCAGCTTCTGTTTGTTGTTTGTCTATTCATTTATTTATGTTCTAGGTGTGGAAAACAGTTGGCTGGAAGCTGATCGCCCTGTCCTCCTCCCTGTACGGTCTGCTGTATCTGTACGAGAGACTCACCTGGACCACCAAGGCAAAGGAGCGCACTCTGAAGCGTCAGTTTGTCGACTACGCCACCGACAGGCTGCAGCTCATCGTCAACTTCACGAGTGCAAACTGCAGCCACCAGGTCCAACAGTAAGACACCGCAGCATTTACAGAAATCTACATGTGGTACGGTATATATGAAGCGGTCCAACTTAAGCTGATTTTCTCACAGTTCTTTGAGTATATTCTAGTGTTGATGTGTACAGAGACATTTTCATCTACAAGGCACCATTAATTTTTGAATATTATTTTTTTGTTAGTATAGAGTTCACTTTAGACACAGTCAGTGAATATCTCCTTGCAGTCTTTTCTGTGTTTAGAGCCCCAAATGGTTGCCATTTAATCAATTAGACCAGTTAGACCTGGTCTAACCTGATCAGTAGACCATTAGTGGCCAACCCGCGGCTCTCGAGCCGCATGCGGCTCTTTGCCCAGTCTCATGCGGCTCCTCAGTTCATATCGAATTTTAATTGTGTTTTTTTTTTTTTTGCGCATATGTATCCCAGTTCACAAAGGGTTAACAAACACAAGTTCCAGCCCAATCGTTACACAGAGTTTTCAACAAAGAAGTGCTTTAGCCAATCAAAATGCAGATCCTGCCGTACTGGAGGCGGGCTTTACTGCACTCGCGATGTGACAGTGAAGTGAGAGATCTGCTTCCCGATTGGCAGAAATATAACTCAGATAAAACCGTAATAACTCAATATAATGTTGTTCAAATCAAAACGGTAACAATTTGCAGTTGTATATGTGTATGTGAGAAGGCCTGCTCCCGGAAAGCTGGCTACTGGCACAGAAGGGCTCCCGAATTTGGTGATTCGCGGTAAAGAAATAAACAAGAGAGAAAGTGCATCTCTGTCAGCAGAGCTTCTGTTAGTCAGAGGGTTAGGTAAAAGTTGAGATGTCATGTGAGGAGAATTAACAAAAATACACTTTATTTATTTTCATTTATTTTTAAATAACTCATGAATCTGTGTGTGAGATACAGACAGGGAGAAAAAATTCGCAAAGATCGCAAATGTGCCCTTTCATGCATTTGAGCCCCCTTCCACATCCTCTGCACATTTCAAGAGAAACATGCATAAGTAAGATAACTACTTTTTTCAAATGTTTTTAACTGAGAGTTTGTGTGTGAGACCACTAATATTAATGGTTGACTATAACTGGCCTCTGGTCTAATACTGGTAGGAGAGGTTTTAAGTCAATTTCTGTCAATATCATGGACTGTGACATTTATAGGAAATCTGGCTGAGCAGAGGTATGTGTTTCTGTATGTGTGTGTGTGTGTCAATTATTGTTCATTTTTAGATTTTCATTTTGTATGTGTGAGAGATAGAGAGGGGCACATAGAGGAAGAGAGTGAGGGAGCACACAGAAAGGCTGAGAGCAAAAGAGAGAAGGAGAGAGAGGTCGGGGGACATACACCCAGCATGTGTGCCTGTGTGTACTGTATGATGTGGTTCTTTGCAGTAACACAGGACAATTATTGGCTCTTTACCTCTGATTGGTTGGCCACCCCTGAATTAGACAATCAAAAGAAAAATGACCAAAGACAGCCTGTGAATTGATCAATTTGTTAAAGCACATTTGAATGTAAATATGTCAGAAAAAGCAGTTTTCAGCCTCTCAAATAAGGATTTTTTTCTTTTCTTCTCTGTTTAATAGTAATCAAACCGAATATTCTTTTTGAATTTTGACTGACAAAACAAGATATTAAAGTACTTCACCTGGGACTTTGATATTTTTGATAATATTTGAAAGACCTAATGACGAATAGATTAATCTAGAAATATTTGACAGAATAATCAATCATTAATAAATAATTATTAGTTATCTGTGCATACTGAAAAATGGTTGGTGTTTTATACTCAGCCTGTATCAGTAAATGCACGAAGGACCATACATCTGGAAGGGGGGGTATTTGTTTTGTGTTCAATTCAAAATATTTACAATCTCTCTCGAGAATCACTGACTCTACCTTTTTATGGGCGGAATAATCCTTTAACATTGATATTCCATTCCTCAATTTCCTGTGAGCTGCTGAGAAATCCCAATAACCCGTACATTTCCTAATTTGCACACACACGTAGATCCCAGCACCCCCCTCCTCTAAGCCCCACCTAGCCTGCCCCTCTGTAGCAGGGCTAAATACATAAGCACTGCAATGCTGTGCCCTCTGTGTTGCCAGGGAGATGGCGGCGACCTTTGCTCGGCTCTGTCAGCAGGTGGACCAGACGCAGAAAGAGCTGGAGGCTGAAATCCGCCAACTGACAGCCAAGATAGATCAGCTGGAGACGGTCCAGAGCCACTCCAAGATCCTGAGGTCAGTGAGACCCCCGTCTCATGAAGGGTGGGGGGGTCTACTCTGAGGGACATGCATGCCTTGGTTATGTGAATTATACTACAGAGCTGGAGACAAGCAAACCCTTCTTCCACAATTTGCCGAATTTTCCAGACAAGCTGAAGAACTAGGTGTTTCTTTGTTGTTGTTGTTTTAGCTTAGGTAGCATAATTCTGCACACAGTAAACAGACTCACAGTTTAAGGAGAGATTTTAATTGTATATGAACATATGTGGTTGTTGTAGGATAAAGTACCTGTGTAATTTAGGATACTGTCACTGGCAGTTTTCAGATTTTCTTTTAGTCATATATAGTCGGATAATAACATTTATAAATTAAGGTGGTAATTGTAAATTAGTTCTTGAAACAAGTATATTAGGAACATCTAAACAGTTATTATTTTACTTATTACTTGTATTCTTGAAAGGCCTATGTAATTTGTATGTTTGGCAAAAAGGCAACTATTAAGTTATTCTATAAGTGAAGTAACTGCATTATTTAGAGAATTCAGATGTTACGCAGCAGCCCTGCAAATGAACAGTTTAAATAAACCGGTTCGGATTAAATTGGTCCAGATCTGACATGTGTTTGTTTCCACTGCAGACATAAAGCCACAGATCTGGAGAAACAGTTGGAGGCGTTCACATACGAGTACCTGCAGCCTCAGCAGTGAGCGGCTCCTCCTCCTCCTCCTTCTCCACAGTTTGGTTCTTGTTGAGCCAATCATTCCTCAGCCTCACAGCGCCGGCCCCCCCCCCCTCCCCTGAACTACTCCACAGACTCTGTGGACAGTAGTGCTGGAAAGATCAATGGATGCATTTTGGGCTATCAACCAAAATGAAATATATAGGTATTTTGATAATCAATGAAAGGTTAGTCATTTATAAGGCAAGAATACCAAACTTCTGCTGCTTCTAAAGTATGAAGGGTTTGTCCTTTTGTGTCATTTGTAAAAATGTTTTTTTTTAATTTTTGGGCTAATGCTCATTTCTCTCTTTTTGACATTTTGTAGACTAATCAAGGGAAAAAAAGAACATTTGGTAATGGAAATAATCTGTAGTTTCACTCTTGGTAGACAGAGCGAAAAAAGGCCCAGTCCAAACAGTATTTTCCTCTTCCTCTTCCTCCCCTCAGCCAGACAGGTGTTGCCTACAAAACTGCAGTGAACCACTGTAAACAAAACTGCCTGTAAAACAAAGAAACGTGGACTCACAGATGCTCCTGAAGGTGGCAATTTAATCTCGGTCGGTGGGAAAGCTACCGGTCGGGTGCTACATTTGACACTAACGTGCTTCTAACTGTGAATATGCCTTTTTTGACTATCTTGAGTAAATGAAGTTTGAGTGTATGTTAGATTGTACATGCATCTGTTCGAGCACATGAAAAATAAATAATTTAATAGAAAAAGATAAATGTTTTTTTTCTTCATCATAAGGACATTTGAATTGAAAGGGGAAAGCATGTCTTTAGCAAACTGTTGGTTAATGTTATATTTTCTAACCTTTCAAACTGTATAGATTCAAAGATTTGGAAATCCTCATTTTATAATATTTATTTATATCCATTAGACTTCTAATGACAAGTAACCAGTCTGCACTTTGTATATCTGTCTGCTTCTTTTTTTTTTTTTTAATGTGTTGAAATACCTCCAGATGTACCCGATTGTATTAAATCTGCCACAATCTAAAACTTGCTTTGTGTTCATTATTGGGAAGACTTTATTAGCGGTATGGAGAATTCCAGCGGCACAACTTTTCATATTTTGCATGAGGACCCCCTGCATGTGCTGTATTACAGTTGATGGCAGTGCACTAACAATGGCAGCAAAGAAGAAGACTTCTGGCAAGCAAATATGGAACTGGTGCACAATTTAAAATGATTTAGAAAATGGCTTGGCATATGTAGAAGAAAATGCGTTCAACATGTTTGTTGGACATTAAGTCAACACAAAATCCTATGTCAGATACACAATGTTGAAAATATTTCACCATATTTAAGTCTCAATTTCTGACTTGGACAAGGACCTGTGCTTTATCTCATGATAGAAATGTGTTTTTTATTCAATAGATAAAGAGCACCGATGTCCATGACCTTATGCAACTACTTGTTATTCATTCAACAGCTCTAAAACTAATCTACCATCCTATTCAGTGGGATAGTGTTTTTTAAAAAAAAATGTTTTATATTAGGATCTTAATCTTCTGAACAGTGCCACCTATGCAAAAGGAAAGTAGCCCTGTAGGTAAAATCATGTGGATGTTCCCTCGTACAGGCGGAGAAGGTTTGCACCAACTGCAGTCAGTGATGGTTAGTGCATTTGTTATCCTTTTTAAAATATCTTTCCACCTGTTAATTACACTAATATAATGGAACATGTGTTGATATTAAGTAATCGCATATAAATACATTTCAGTGTTTGTCTTTTGCCGCGACCATAAGTATGTTTCTAAACTAAACATATTTTTATTTGTACAGAGCTGACTCTTCTGCCAACAAGCAACATGTGAAAAAAGCTTGTAGTTTAATGTTAAGCACCAAAATCAGAATTACTAGTTATCCTTTCCTATTCGGTGTCAATTTTCTCCTCAAACGGTTGTTTCTAATTGAATAAAACTTGTTTAAACGTATTTATACAAAAGTGGATATAATGTTAATAAAGTTTTTGTTTAGACATTTGTATACAGTCTACATTTCTGTAACAAAGGAAATTAGTCAAAATGTGTATTCTTGGTTAGAAGCTTTTTATTGGTTACAATAACTCATGGCAACATATCAGTATCACCAAGCCACTGTACAAATACAAAAAAAAGGTCTGGTGTGAAAAAGACTATAAAAATTATTCCATAACAAGTGATTATAATTTCACACAATAGCACTGTAAGAGAATTATCATGGCACCAAGTCCCTGGTCTTTACTGGCTTAAAACATAAAACAATAAATAAAATCAAAGAAAATGTCAGAACAGTAGGTTGTAGAGTGAAAGGGCAGTGCATTATTTTTGTGATGGTGCTGTGGTGGTGATCATGTGACATAAGCAATTAAAGTGGTGTCTCATTGAATCAGGAGACTTTACATTTGTCATATCCAAATATTAAACCTGGAGAGTTATGCAAATGTAGTTGTCAACATATCGACACTGTTACACCAACAGGCGGATTCAATGGCTCCTTATCAGTTGTGTGGTTATAAACTGGAGGAGACTTCAGGTAAATACAACTAATGTGAAATTAAAAGAAGTCAAGCACCTTTTTGATTAATGAGTGAACTGCACAGGCACGTAGAAGTGTTACTAGTCCAGGTTCCAGCGGCTAATACTGCTGAATTACACACAGAGCGAGGACATGATTTCCTGCTGAATATCGCTGTCAGGGTTTATTGGAATATTTTTGAGATTTGGGAAAAGATGCTTAGATCCTTACGGAGGAGTTAGGAAAGATACCGCTTCGTGTCTGTCCATTAACGAGACATTTAAAAAAGCTTCTGCTAGCTGCCGGTTAGCTTAGCTTAACGATTGGAAACTGAGAAACAGTTAGCCTGGCTCTGACCAACAGTTACAATTCCTGCCTGTCTCTGAATCTAAAACAAAAAGAATATCTTGTTTATTAAATATGTAAAATGATAATTCGCCATTCAGAATAGTTCTGGCAACTCTCCTTTTCACACTTTGGTTTTAAGATATTGAATGTTAATGAGTGAGCTTCATTAGCCAGGCTAGCTGTTTCCAGTCTTTGTGCTAAGCTAATAGACTGCTTATGTTGTGGCCTTATATTTAACGGAAAGATATGAGAGAGATCGTCCCATCTAACTGCCAGAAAGCAAACATTTCCCACAATATTAAAACAATTCCTCTTAAAATACATGTTGTCATCTTTATATGGGGGACACTTTTCATGTCCGCTGATTGATATAGAAACTTCACTCTAATAAGCACTTTTATAACACTTTGGGATACAAAAACCCATCTTTAGATTTAAGCAGCCCACCGGTTTGATCAAACAACATCCTGGGTATAAAATCAGATACTGACATGAATTTAATTTGTGGATATGCAGAAGGCTGGCACTTGAGTAAAGTGAGCAATGTTGTTTTTTTGTTGTCACATTGACTTAGTTTTCAGTTCACAGCTCAGGGTCTGTGGATAACATTGGCACAAATGAGGAAGTAACACTTAGATCTATATGTTATCCACATACATCAGCAAATCGTCCCCCAATCCCTCCCCTCCCCCCCACACACACACACCTCAACACTGATATGCAATACATATCACATCCTACACACCCCAAAGATATTCTCAGGCTAAAAACTATAACGGTTATTTTTAACATTCTCTCAAAATTGATTCATCAATGCAAAGCCAGGTAGAAGCAGCAAAAACATTTAAAAACAAGAAAGGTCACGAGAATCACGCTATGCCAAAAGAGGGGTTTCATTGATAGCCGACTGAACCTAAATAAATACTACAAACTGTACGGTAGTATTAGAAAGTAGAATTGTATAAAGAGTGATGTAGAAACACTTTAAGAAGCAGTATAGAGCTGCATGTGGTCGCTGTGGTTTCTGTAAGCATGCTTTTTAGTGTTCACTAGTATCAGAATGTGCTTCTATTGGGAAACAAAAAATAATAAGCAATCTCTCTTATTGATAAATCTGTAAAAAGGAATAATAAGAGGAAAACATTACTGTAGTCGATGCTAGTATGACCTATTAGGAATGGTATTGTAAGGCAGAATGGAGACACAATAGTGCCACATCTCAGGAGCACAAATCCTCCTTTATCTAGCCCATTTGGGTCACATGTTTAAATTCAGAGATAGGCACCTGAGACAGCTGATGGATAGGTCCAAATCACATATATTGTTTTTTTAATTAAGCATTTAGAGGAACCAAAATAATGGAAGATGAGAAAAGACTCAAAATCAGAGATAGTACTTCTATGGGTAAATAAGTCACATGTGCTCAATGGTTTACATTTGTACTACAGTTCGTGAGTGCATATCTAGCTCTCTACCAAGTGTACATTTCTGTCTACCAAGTGTACTCTATTCACAAGCAATATTTAACAGTTCATAACATGTTTTTGGTGAGAAAAAAAAAAGTGTTAAACCATTTTTTTTTTTTTTTTTTTTTTGACAGGCTTGTTGTGGCACTGGTGTGATTTCAGAGTGGCTGACATGATTTCAGTTCCATGTATTCACTCAGTTCACACCCTGTTGACGACAAAAAGGACTTGATCCTTTGCTTTAAAAAAGGATAAAACGACATGGCAAACTCTGACCGATATCTTTATTTTGTCCTCTTCATCTTCCCTCTTGTCCCCAGCAGAGTCACTGCTGTCCTTTATGGTCCTTTAAATATCCTCATGTATTGACTCTACTTTATGTCCATACAGGCCTCAGCACCATTACAGGCTCACAGGTAGAAATGGCTTCTGCTTCGGGAGAATGCGTCTCTATGCGATGCTCATCTCTCCAACAGTGTCTTTTGTATGAGGAACTTAGATGCACATCTCGATTAAGGAAAAGTAGATTCTATAGGCCACAGGAGACGCAAAACCTATATTTAGGACTATTATTGGGTTATCAATCATATCACACAGCTGTTGATTTGCATGGAATGAATGTGGTCTTCAGATATTCGTGTGGTTAAAACCACAATCAAACACAAGTGGAGGCCAAGGCAGGGCCTCCAGGTAAATAACGTTTTCTATCCTAGCCTAAATTCAACGGTTTCTACTTTCGAGGTAAAGCTCGACTAGCAGACTTAAAACTTAAAAACACCGCTTGTTTTATTTTGACATGCTCCCTTTTATCATTATCACAGCAGTGTGGCGTTTCCTTTCATATGAAAAGACTGCGTTGAGAAATGCCAGGGGTTGTGTGGTTGAAAAAAAAAAATGCAGAGGATGCATGAATTATGTATACTGCCTGTAACCATAATACACATCGACTGAGGAACGTAAGTTTAGCTTGGCCGAATTCTAAGATTTGTTAAATCTTCGTTTGCTGGGCTTGACGAAATCAGCAAGTACCAGAAACATTGAAAATGAACGAGAGCAGACTTTTTAGATTCAATGATACGCTGCTGCCTCTTAATTGTCTGACGATCAGTCTGGTACTCACATTGGATAAAATCAGTGTTTCTGGCATTATGTTTTTGTAATGTGAATATGTACACTATAAATAAAACATAAAACCCCCAAAAACATAACAAAAAAACCTCAAGGGTGGGAAATAAACTACAAAAATATATACATACACATTATATATGCATATGATGCATATATACACACATAATGCTATACATATATACTGTCTTTATATATACATTTACATATTACATGCCGACGCTCATCTTGCTTGTTAGTCACGGTAATAGATGCTTTTTATCGCCCCCCCCCGCACAAGAGAATTGGGCAAAATCTTATTTTTTTTTTCCTTCAGTTTTTCACAACTAATCTCTTCTTTTTAAACTTTTGCTTGGCCAACTCTATCGAAAGGTTCCTATATTTGTTTCTGTGTAAAAGTTGGTTAAAAAAAAAGAAAAAACGTCACTTGGAAAGTTAGAAAGAGTTGTACTTTCTCACAGGAGGGCGGGTCGCCTGCAGAGAGGAGAGCTGGGAGTGAGTTGAAAGGATTTGGGCAGACACAGTGTGCACCCCTCCGGTCCAGCCCAGCAGATGAGTTGG